CAAGCCAAGGTTGGGCTTTGGCCAGAAAAAAAGAATGCATTAAAAGGACAAAGGGGCCAACAGACAGTGTGATGGCAAGAGAAAGGAAATAAGAAACTCAGAGGCTGAAGAGGTAGGTAGAGAAGGAAGCGAGCCTGTGCAGAGGCTATGCCCATTTCTGCCTGCATCCTTGCTTTCTGATGCCTGGAGAACATGGGGTATTGCTGCCTTCTGTAGCAATAGATGCTGCCAGCTGTGGCTTGATAAGGAGCTGCAAGCTAATGAGCTCCCCAGCTGCTCTCCAGCCTCTGCACTGGTTCTGACTGGTCACAGTTGGGTAGCTGCCCCAACGATTCACATCCAGCATGGCCAAGATTTTCAGAACACACACACACACACACACACACACACACACACACACACACACACAAGCCTATGAGAGGAGAAGATTGACATCAGCTGCAAGTGTAGCTGGTGTATTGGTTTACCTGCTAGGTGTGCAGGGTAATTTGCATGTTACTTTCAAATGCTGTATAGATCAAACCTGTTTAAGATCTTGGATTTTATATGTGTAAATTGTTGAAGATCACAGATCTTTCCATACCTGCCTTGTTTTCAATAAAAGTTGGATATTATTATATGACCCCATGGATATCATGAGCACTGGACTCAAAACTTCAAGCTCTTCTTTTCAATATTTTCAAATGCAGATAATAAAAATAGGGAAAAAACTTCAGAAAAACTTTAGGGCAGTGATGGTATATTAAACTGTTTCTGAGTAATCAACACATGGGTGACAAAAGGAAACACAAAAGTCTCTTGGGAAAAATGATGCCACCGTGTAATCCATGAGCCGGTGATGATTTCGACAAGAGAACTCATACCAATTGTTGACCTTGTTTCATGGCTTCTCAATTATGGAAATGTACAGTGATGGAGCACCGGGGTGCACCATATCAGAAGTGGGGGTATAATGGAACACGCATCCCTGCTTCCAGATGAAAGATGGATTCCCAATGAAACTGTTGGACATGTGTAGACAATGGGATGCTGGACTGTCTGGCATTGTCTGTACCAGCAATGCTGGGGTACACTTAAACAAAAGACTGATAGAATTATGATTCCTTATGAAGGACTACACACCATTGTATTAAAATGGGGTGGGAATTTGGAGGGGGGGATCCTAGCCAATACGAAATTGCACCACATAATTCAAAATTCAAAATAAAAATATATTAAAGAATTATAAAACAAAACAAAAAACTGTTTCTAGTACAGAATGGATAACAGGTGAAAAGAGCACAAACACAGAAAGAGACTCGGAACACTGTCCTCTCCGGCTGGGGAGACTATAAATTGGTCCAACCACTCTGGAAAATAGTGTGGTACTTTCCATAAAAGCTAAAGAGATATATATCTGTGATGCAGTAAAAACTGCTCCTAGGGTTACACACAGCAGAAAATGATCGATACAGCAATGGGATTGATACTGGACACAACTCCATTTCCCATCCATGTTAATATGGATGAGCAAAGATTGGTCTGTTCACACCAGACAATACTACACAGTAATGAAAATTACAAAGCACAACTGCAGGCAACAGAATACATAAGTGTCATGGACAGAATGCTGAGTGGGAACCAACACGAAAACACCCATGAATGTCAATTCAGAGACAGAAGACAGAATCAAATACTTAAATGTGTAAACTATAAAGAAACTGGGAGAGGGGAAGATCATTAAGGCAGTATGCTTAGCTTTCTCTAGGCCTGTGCCTGCGGAAAAATTTAAGCAGAAAGTTATCCGATTCCAAAATTGAGAATACATAAATACGCTCCTTGTACTGCATTGCTTATGTACAAATCTTAGAAATATGTACTATATACAATTCTCTTCCATTGACTTCAACCCAAATGGGTATTTTCAGTTTTATTTTTATGAGCCATAAAACAAAGTAATAATATCTGCTGTTTTCCCAAAACAATATAGTTTCTGTATTCTTTGGTGCACATTTTTAAAAGAAAAAAATTGGAAGGCTTCAGATAAAAGTACAATGAAGAACTGTGTACTCTGTGCCCAAGTACCTAACAGCTATAAACAATTGATAGCTATTGAAGACAAGATGTTCCACCACCCACATTGCCTTAGGGCAGCCAGGAAGGCCATGTGAACCCTAGAATCCCTGAGTGGCTTATGATCTCTTGTTGAGACTTACAATTGCATAAAACTGGCCCTTAGACCCTGGCCATCTTCATTTGCTTTGCAGCCCATGGCCCAGGGACTTATGCCCACATACTCCCCAACCCTAAAGTCTATCTTTCCTCCTGACCTTCTACGAATACCTGCCTCTAGACCACCCCTCGAGAGAGCGGACAGAGGACAAATTTTAGGAAGATCTACAAGTGAAGTAGGGCCATTTGGGTGGGTAGTCTCTATGTCCTAGTACTTGGCACGCGGTCTAGAAAAGGCATCATGGGTTCCACGTGGCATAGTGTCTTGTCTCAGCCGACTCCTCCCTTTGAGAAGGTGCATGGTCGAGAAAGAGCTAGGAGCTTTAAAGCACAGCACCCAGCTTGCTTACTTTTTCTTTCTTTCTTTCTTCCTTTCTTTCTTTCTTTCTTTCTTTCTTTCTTTCTTTCTTTCTTTCTTTCTTTCTTTCTTTCTTTCTTTCTTCCTTCCTTCCTTCCTTCCCTCCCTCCCTCCCTCCTTTCTTTCTTTCTTTCTTTCTTTCTTTCTTTCTTTCTTTCTTTCTTTCTTTCTTTCTTCCTTCCTTCCTTCCTTCCTTCCCTCCTTTCTTCCTTCCTTCCTTCCCTCCCTCCCTCCTTTCTTTCTTTCTTTCTTTCTTTCTTTCTTTCTTTCTTTCTTTCTTTCTTTCTTTCTTTCTTCCTTCCTTCCTTCCTTCCTTCCCTCCTTTCTTCCTTCCTTCCTTCCCTCCCTCCCTCCTTTCTTTCTTTCTTTCTTTCTTTCTTTCTTTCTTTCTTTCTTTCTTTCTTTCTTTCTTTCTTTCTTTCTTTCTTCCTTCCTTCCTTCCTTCCTTCCTTCCTTCCCTCCTTTCTTCCTTCCTTCCTTCCCTCCCTCCCTCCCTCCTTTCTTTCTTTCTTTCTTTCTTTCTTTCTTTCTTTCTTTCTTTCTTTCTTTCTTTCTTTCATGAGGCTAAAGGCCTTAATACAAAAAAGGGCAACTTGGGAAGCCCCTGGGATCTTGGAAGAAATCTGTCTTGATCTGAGTATAGTAACTAATTTTTTCGATTCATTTTTATTGGAAAGGCAGATCAAATTTATGGAGGAAGAGGAGAGACAGAGTGAAAGATCTTCCATCCGTTGGTCCACTCCCCAAATGGCCACAAAGGCTGGAGCTGAGCTGATCCAAAGCCAGGAACGTCCTCCGGGTCTCCCACATGGGTGCAGGGTCCCAAGGCTTCGGACGGTCCTCCATTTCATTACCAGACCGTAAGCAGGGAGCTGAATGGGAAATGAAGCAGTGGGACACGAACCAGCACCTATATGGGATCCCAACTCTTGCAAAGTTTAGCCATTGTGCTGCACCGTAGAGCAACTTATTAAGCGATACACTTGCTTCATGTAATTTTCTGAGTGCTATGTTTCCCAGTAAAGTGCTCACAAAATGTGTGCATTAAAATATATTAATATCTGTTGCTGAAGTTAATGTGATTCCTGGAAACAAATCGGCTTTGAGTGATTGCCCTTACAAACGTAAACACCTTGGGCAGCTAAAACGCCTCCAGATGTGAGTACCAGAAGGGGACACAGAATGTTGGAGACCCAATGGCTGTCACTGCTGCTTGAGTGGAACTCCTTATGTATCCATGCAAGTGAGTCATGGGCCGTGTCCTCTGGCCTAGCCATTGCCAAGTGCCTGGGAGGAAAATGCCTTGCCCTCCTCGTAGCCAAGATCACAAATCCACACCAAAATCACAGGAGGCTCTTCCCCTCCTGGTATAGGCGAAGGGAGCCCAGCTCCCAGTGAGTCTCTGGGAAGCAATCCAACAAGCACTTCTTGTTCCCCTGGGGGAACTGGATGGGCTCAGCAATGATTGGCTGAGCACCTACTTTGTGCTAGGCAGAGCCCTCACTCTACGGCTCTGCCTTTTAAAATGTCCGCTTAGCTCTTCTTTGTTTCATTCTTGATGGAGAAAACACTTTCCTTTGACAGAGATCCAGGTTGGTAATTCTCAAAAAGATTTCCATGTGCTCTGTGTGGTTTAAAGATCAAGATTTTTCTGAGCTGTGTTTCCATGCTAATCCACAAACATTTTCATTCTCGCCTTTCTCTCTCCCTCACACATGCAACTGAAACTTAGAGCTGCGCAGACAATGAAAGGGAACTGAGAACTTGGCCACCAAAAGGCCAGTTGATTTCTTTTTCTCCGGGTTTTGCCTCTGAGCTATTTCAAAGCCGCATTTCCAAAACATCAGTTTTCCTCTTTTTCGGGAAGCAAGAAAAACATATGTCTCCAGTGACCTTTGTAAGCTGCCAATGGCTCCGGGTTGATAAAGGCAGCAACATACTCAATTAGTTTAAAGGAAGATAATGAGGCAGCCAGCACAGAGAGCAGGGAGGGGAAAAGCAATGATTAAAACTGCAGCTCGGAAGCCTTGAGGGCTCATGCTCACCTTAACCATGGATGAGAAACACCTGCCCATCACTCAGGACCCAAGGTTGCTCTTCTGCCCGTGTGTTTTCGCTGTGTGTTTCGCTGGAGTCCCAGTGACATGTAGTGGCATGGTATTTTTTTTTTTTTGGCTTGCCCATTGATCTGCAAGTTCCTGAAGGAAATGACCGTATTTTGTGCATCCTTGAAGCTCCAGCTGGTAAGATGCCAGGGCATCAACAAGTGGTTTTTTTCTTGCAGGCAAGAATAACTGAACGACACATTCCATGTACAAGACGAGGGACTTTGCATTTCCAGTCACTGCAATAGACTCTTTAGAGTATGACAAGTAACCTCTCTCCTCCCAGTGTTTGCCCACCTTTTAATTTCTACAACATCTCTTTGCAGGTTCAGGAAGCTGCAAGTTCTTGACTGTCAGCCCCCGCCAGAGCACACCACACGTTCCTTAGAGTTCTGCGAAGAATGAAAGTGGCCAGCAGCTGAGACACTGGGACTGTCCTCGCAAAGCCCCGGAACTCCTACACGCTTTGAGGGAAAATGTGGGCGAGGGTGAGTAGCCACAGAAAGACACACATTCTGTGATGAATGAGTCCCTCTGTGGCAGTAATGTAACTGGTGTTCCATTGTCATACAGGCCTGCCAGGAAGAGTTGAAAAGAAATGTTCATTTCACCCCCCAGAGTTTGTCCTGTTTAAGGAGGTGCTTTTCACAGACACACTTAGGTTCTCAGGGAGTTCCAGTTCGTTCAGAAGTCTTCTGACATGCAGGTAGAGCATCCTGTGGAATGCACTTGGTATGCAAAGAAGGCTGGACGCTCACTGAGTCACGTCGAAGCTGACTGCCAGGTTCAGGCATCAGCTGTTTCTCTGGGGTCTCCTTTCTCTCTCTCGAAATCATTCAGCTATTCATTTAAGAAAATCCACTTGGCCTATAGTGGAGGTTATAGTTAAAGTAATCAAGACTACCTAAAGGTGATATTAAGTAGAATAAATGACGTACAATTGCATCTTCTAACTGGCTTCCAAAGGAGACAGTCATCAGGGGGGTCCTGGGTGGTCACAAGGACCTGCACTCATAGCCTCACGCTTACACTAAGTGGAGTTCACCATGAAACAATTACTAAACCTTTTTGCATCTGTTTCTACATTTATCAAATGGTGATAGAAGAGTTGCTGAGAGGATAAAATGAAACAACGCATATAAAATAATTTGTGCTCAAATGATAATGTTCAGAGCAACAAATACTCTTTTATCACAAAGAATTAGCCATCACCTGCACACACACACACACACACACACATAGCCCCATGCAGGCACATCAATCCAAGGAGGGTTCTATTGCATCTACGGGAGAAAAGATGTAAATAAATATAACAATAAAGTCTTTCATTAAGTAATTTTTAAAAATTCCACTCAGGGCTGGTGCCACGACATAGTAGGCCAAGCCTCCAGTTGTGGCAGTCGCTTCCTATATAGGTTCCAGCTCGAGTCCAGACTGCTCCACTTTTGATCCAGGTTCCTGCTAATGGCCTGGGAAAACAGCGTAGGATGTCCCAAGTCCTTGGTTCCCTGTACTCTCGTGGGGGACCCAGTAAAAGCTCCTGGCTCCCAGCTTCAACTATGGCTATTGAGGCCATTTGGGGAATGATCTTTTTGTTAGATTCGCCAACCAACCATGAAGGAATATATCAGCTGAGTAGAAAAGAATATAGATGGCCTTTATGCAAATAAACTCCATTCCCAGGCCTTCCTTCCCCATGTAGTGAGAAAGACGTGGAAGAAGGAACTACAGAGGGACAGGAAAAGGCCAGGAAAGAAATGTGCAGGAAGTTTGATACCCTTCTTGCCGTGGAAGCTGAAGCAGGTGTCGCTTCGGTCCTTATTTGGTGAGGAATGTTGCTCTGTGTCCATCATTGGGGCAGCAGTGCTGCTCCCGGGGCGTGCCCGATTTCTGCCGTCCTTTCTGAGCTCTAGTCTGAGGTCAGAGTGATGTACCAGGTTCAAAGCAGGCTCCACCCTCCTCTCATAACCATGGCAACCATCACTTTCTCTATGTTGCTATATCTGGTCAAAGACAGCAAAAACTTGCTGTGACTTTTGTTAAGATGCGTTCTTATTTTATTTTATTTGAAAGGCAGAATTATCAAGATGAGCAAGTGAGAAAAACTGCTCTTCCATCTACTGGCTCACGCCCCAAATGGTTGCAGTGACTAGGACTGGCCCAGCCCAAAGCTAAGAACCTGGAACTCCATCTGAGTCTTCCACATGGGTGGCAGGGACCAAGCACTTGCGCCATCTCCCACTGCCTTGCAAGGCATGCGGGCGAAGAGCTTCATCCAAAGCAGAACTGCTGGGACTCCAAACAGCATTCACCCAGGATGCTGGTGTGACAGGTGGCAGCTTAGTTTGCTGTACAACAATGCTGGCCTCTTAAGTGATATTTTAAGGTTAAAGTGTTGATCCCTTAAAAAAAAAAAATCTCCCCTAATCCTAAAACTGCATGATAGAAATCTATCAGAGAATTGCATACTTCAGAGTCTTCATTTAGATTAAATGGCTAATCCAAAGCAGAACGTATTTATTTGTAACTCTCCAAATAATGCATCATGAATATTAATCTGCTTATGAATAGAGAAAAAAATGATCTCATTTGTTTATATGTATTCAACTAGTTTTATCAAACTGAGACAAGACAGAGATGTGCAGAGAGAGAATAAGCTTCCTTCTGCTGATTCACTGCCCAAACGGCTGCAGAGGCCCAGTCAGGGCCAGGCCAAAGCCGGGAGCCAGGAACTCCATCGGGGTCTCCCACATGAGTGGTCGGCATCTAAACGCTCGGGCCTTCATCTGCTGCTTTCCCAGCAGCATCAGCAGGGTGCGCGTCAGAAACGGAGCAGCTGGGACTCAAACAGGAAACAGGTGCACTCCGTTTCATTTTTCTGCGTGATGGTAGTTAGGCATTCACCAGGGCACCACTGCGGAGGACAGAGGGCTAGCTCTGAAAACCTGAAAGGCGAAAGCATCGTCTTTAGAACTATGGCCCCTTTTGGCATCTGCCTGCTTCAAGCCAGGGCAGGAAGCTAACAGTTGGGTGTGGTAGATGATGGTTTATTTAAAGACAAAAGCTCCAAACCAAGCTCTTGCCTCACGAAGAATCAAAATGTGTTGACTAACAGAATTCAAAATGTTTCCATTTTTCTCTCACTAAATACGATGGCCAAACTAAAACCACATGACCAAAATGGCTATCCGTATCATATATCTACTGCAGCCACAGGTTCACGGGAAATGTCCTAAAAAGGAAGATACCATGAAGAAAATCAGAAAGTTATCTTACCACATCTTTTAAAACGTGATGATTCTAACATTTTTGAAGGAATATAAAAATTCTATCCGCGGAGAATGCTAACTCTCCTTCATTAGACCTCAAGGACAATGTAACCTGTTCCAATCTCTAAGGTGTTCCTTAAGTGTAAATATGAAACATTAGGGACGAAATTGATGAATTACCTCTACATCTGCCTTACCCATTTCTAAGGCTCCTACAACTGCATACTGGAGAGCAGAGGGCATAAGCAACAGAGCTTTATTTTCTCGTAGTTCTGCGCGATGGAAGTTGAGCATGGAGGTATCAACAGGGTTGGTCTCTGGAGCTTCTTTCCTTGGCTTACTCGTGTGTCTTGTCCCTATATCCTTACATGCTCTCATCCACTGCATCTGTGTCCTCACCTCCTCTTCTAAGGACACCAATCAAGTAGGGTTATGGTCCCTTCTCAGGACTTCATCTTAACTTTGTGACGTCTGTATAGTACCCTATCTCTAAGTACAGCTATGGCTGGAGGCTCTGAGGGTTGGACTTCCACATATGAAATGGGAGGGCACACAACTGGCCCACCATATGGCCTACACATGAACATCATGCGACCGTGAGGATGCTGTGGTCTGAGGACATCACACACCAAGCTTCCAGAGACACAAACCTGGTGTGAGTGGAGCCACCTGCAGAGATTGTACAACTGCTGCATACTCAGCCAGTCTAACTCAGTCTAACTCAGCCAGTCTAACTTCCTGAATGCCAGGAAGGCGTGATTTTAACCAAGCTTCTGAAACTCAGAAAGTCTAAAGGCTCCCTGCTGGAAGTGGTGGATACAAACTTCAGTAAGAATACAAGAGGGTCATCAAAAAGCCTGAGGAAACTGAATTAAACAAAAACAAACATTCCATGTACATCCTGAATTATTTTTTATATTCGAGCCCAGAGCATCCATACTTAAAAGAATACAGACACTTGTGCTGGCTTCACTGCCGTGAGCTCCATGAACATGGGTGTGAGCATCCACCGCTGCGTATCAACAACCCAAAGGCCTTGCATGAATAGCGCATCTGCTAGAACTCAAGTGTCCCCAAAGCATGCCAGCTATAGAATCAAACCAATTCTTCCTTTTTCAGTGTGTGGTTTTATTGATGTATAAATCACCGCAAAAAGGCAACTCAGTGTAGACAGTCATTTTATTGGGGGATGTACACTGATCCCAGGGCTTGCTGGAAAATGAGAAGCATATCCAAGAATGAAGTGTTGCACAGCTGTGGGAGCTGCTGGCCCTGCACAAAACAGGCGCGTCTGAAGGGAGGTTTCACGGTCTCATCTGAGTTGAGTGAAATGGAGCTCTCCTGAGTGGGATTTCTGGAGGCTTCCAGTGTTGGCTGATGGTCACGCTGTTGATCCACATTGCAGATATGACAGTGTCAAGATGACACTGCCCGAGATCTGTAAAGTAGCCAGGAGCCGGGGTGCATGTGGTGACCGTGCGGTGTGATCGGCTGTCTGTCCCTACTTTAACACCAAGTCTGGTGGTTGCACAGGGTCTTCTAGGATTTTCTCTTTCTACAGAAAAACCTCATTTACTCTAAAATAGGAAGCTTTAAGGATTTCTTGAACATGGTACATTCCCTAAGTAAAAACACATCAAGCCAAAAACCTTATCTACCAGAAATTCATCCTGACAAAGACTGAAGTGAACCCGTGACAGAAATGGTCTGTTCCCCCACAACCCCAAAGGATCCGTAGCCACCCACCTGTGTGGTCAGTTTCACATGACAAAAGAAGCTTCTGGAAGCTTTGCAATCACTGAGAGCTCTGAGGTGACCCTGTCCTCACCATCTACACGCAAACATCACAGATCCAACACTGGGTGAGCCCTTTTGTTCTCCGACTCATGTTGCCAACAGAGAACCTGGGTTCTCTTGGTTTCCATCATTGTTGTCCCACAGTTTCCCTTTATTCTCCCTTAGTTTAACCTGGGTGTTGCCCCTCACAGTCACATGGCACTAAAAAGAGCTGTGTATCCTCTAGGCGTTAAACATTATTCAGAGTTTCCTTGGGTTTCCCCTGACTCACTTAAAAGAGAATTCACAGTTGAACAATTGGGTCACACCTAGTGCTTCCTGCCTGTGTTTGAATCTCTATTCTGCTCTATGCTCCGCCAATCATTGCTTCGTAGCTGGAAGTTACGTTAGTCAGGGTAAGTACAGTAAAGCTGCAACAACAG